AAAGAAAAGGGACCTAGAAGAAGTGAGACAAATAGAAAGCAACTAGTCAGGTGATAGTTTTAAATTCAAATACATCAGTAATAACATGTACAGAAAACAGTTTAATGAAAGAATAAATATGATCAGATTGGGGGAAAATGTATGGTGCTTATAAAATACACACATTAAATATCAGGAGCCAAACAGGTTGCAAGTAAAAGAACAAAAAAAGACATACTATATAGACCTTAACTAAAAGAAAACTGTTACAGGTATGTTATAATCACACAAAATAGACCTACAACTAGAGAAAAAAAGGGACATTTCATAATTTAATTCACAAGGAAAACAATTCTCAAAGTTATGCACTTACTTAGTATCAAACTATATACAACAAAAACTGACAAAGCTACAAGGATAAATGGACAAATCCACAGAATCAGTGGGAGAGTCTACCCCAATTCTCTCCATAACTGATAGACTACGTAGCAAAATCATTAACATGACCTATTTGACATATACAGAACACTATAACCAACAAATGCATTACACATTCTTTTCAAGTGTCCATGAAATGTTTACCAAAGCTACCAAAGGCTGGGCCATAATGCAAACCTCAATAAATTTCAAAATATGGAAATTATTTTAGTATTGCTAAAATTAATAAAAAGATAAATAGGAAACCCTCATATACTTAGAAACTAATAAATCTCTTTCCGAACAGCCACAGATCAAAAAAGAAATCACAGCTCTAGCCGGTTTGGCTCGGTAGAGCGTTGGCCCGCGGACTGAAGGGTCCTGGGTTCAATTCCAGTCAAGGGCATGTACCTAGGTGGCAGGCTTGATCCCTGGCCCTCGTTGGGGCTCATGTGGGAAACAACCAATCGATGTGTCTCTCTTTCTGTCTCTCCCCTCCCTTCCACTCTCTCTAAAAATCCATGGAAAAATATCCTTGGGTGAGTATTAGCAAAACACACACACACAAAAAAAAAATCACAATAAAAATTATGAAATATTTTGAACTAAATGATAATGTAAACACAACACATTGAAACATATATACAGCAAAAAAAAGTCTTGCTTTAAAGAAAATGTAGAGATTGAAATGCATATATTAGAAAATCTAGATTAATTACAAAAAATAAAACAGACCAAATGTAACCTAATCTATTTCAATTAAACACACACACACACACACACACACACGTATCCTATCCTTTCCAATTTTTTTGAAGTGTAACTTCCGTGAATTATATTAACAAATAAATGAGACCCAAAATATTCTAAGTAAGAGGATGCAACTACCTGTATAAAAACATTACATCTACTGGTGAGGTCTTCAGCAAATTTATCCATTCTCTGCTCTTTAGATAAAATAGATTCCATTTTCATCATCCATGAGCTCACAAAGACGTAGTAAGACTGTACATCTCTAACAAAGGAAAATATTGGGGTTACTCAGCACAGAAAATAAAACTTACTTCCATTTATTCGTATTAGTTGGAATATTTCCTTAAGTAGCCATTTCATTTTGCTGGTTTTCAAAATACAGATATGATATATATATAATTCATTCATTCAACAAATATTTATTGAATGCCTATACAAACCTATGCTGAGAACAAAAATCAGCAGTAAATAGGCAAAAATCCCTATCCCCATGAAGTTTACATTCTAAAAAGGTGCACTGTTTAATAAAGAAGTCAATAATTAAACTCTTTAAGAAGTCAAATGATATGTGCTATAGAAAATATACAGTCAGGAAACGAGATAGGGACTGGGATAGTGGGTACCATTTTAAATACAGTGATCAAAGAAGGTCCATTGAAAAGGTGATTTTAGGCAAGATTTGAAGATGAATGAGTAATCTATGCAAATATCTGAGAAGAAAATTCTAGTGAAGAAACCAATGAAAAACATGTTAAAACAGTAAGTGTGTCTGGCATGTTCAAGTAATACCAAAGAAGTCAGTGGAGTACAGAGAGCCTGAATGAAATCAAAAGGAGATCAGAGAGGTAGAGGGGTAGGGGCTTGGGGGAGCAGGAAAAGTGGAGAGTGGGGCAGGCCTTGTAAAGAGTAAGAACTTCAGTGGAAACTCACTAGAGGATCTGAGCAGAGTGACTTGATTTAACTTTGAAGAGGATCAATACACATTGGCCAATATGTTGAAAGCAAACTATAAAGGGAATGATAATAAAAGCAGGAAAACCACTTAGGATGCTACTGTGATAATGCAGAAGGGGATGGCAGCTTGAACCAGAATGGGAGTGGAAATGGTCAAAATCCTATATAAAACCCTAATATGTAAACCGACCAAACGGCAGAACGACTGGTCGCTATGACGCGCATTGACCACCAGGGGGCAGATGTTCAATGCAGGAGCTGCCCCCTGGTGGTCAGTGCACTCCCACAGGGGGAGCACCGCTCAGCCAGAAGCCGGGCTCATGGCTGGCAAGTGCAGCAGCGGTGGCGGGAGCCTCTCTCGCCTCCGGGCAGTGCTAAGGACTCCTCAGGGGATGTCCGACTGCTGGCTTAGGCCCGCTCTTGCCTCAGGGGCAGTGCTAAGGACTCCTCAGGGGATGTTCGACTGCTGGCTTAGGCCCGCTCCCCTCAGCCAGCAGTCAGACATCCCACGAGGGGTCCCGGACTGTGAGAGGGCGTAGGCCGGGCTGAGGGATCCTCCCCGTGTCCCCTCCCCGCCCCCGCAATGCACGAATGTCGTGCACCAGGCCTCTAGTCTGACTATAAAAGCCAATATTTATTGCATGCTTACCATACGCCAGCCACTGTTCTAAGCACCTGACACAAATTAACTAGTTCAATCGTCACACTAACCTTGTGAGGTAGGCATTATGATCTCCATTTTACAGTAGAGGAAACTGACACACAGAAGTTATGTGCCCAAAATCATATAACTAATATGTGAGTCAAGATTCAATCCCAAATCTAGGAAGCTTTCCCATCCTGGAAAGACTTAATATAATTACATGCAGGTTGAATACAAACACTAAAGCACTGTACCAATGCATCTCAAATCATTCAAGACAGGAACTTTTAGCCCACATGCTGTTTAAACTATACTTTAAAATATAATTTTAAAAAGTTAGTGTGCAAAAAATGAACAATTTCCCTCTGTGAGATCTGACTTTACCAACTCTTTTTAAAAACCATCTAGTTAGATAAGATTGAGAAATGTCTCAGTACTGCCAGTCAGAATTAGCTAAAGAACAGTACTTCAAGGCAAGAGACAGAAGAGACCCACTTGATTAAGATGAGAATCCCACAGAGGTTGTTGGCCAGCCATACTGCCAAGCAACTGATAATCTCAAAAATTCTGTTAGTCTGAAGAGGGATTATTCCAAAATTTATAATAAATGTGTTTTAAGGAGGTGAAACCTCACCACCAAATCTGAGAAAAATGACTTCTACTGAGACAGGATTTCATTAGACAAAAGACACCAATACTGTACTCTTGGCTTCGCCTAGAATGATGCTAAAGTGTATTATTTGACTTGTGGGTGATTCAGTGTAAAAGTCTGGAACACACAGAAAGAGCAGGATCCTAGGGCAACACCTCCACTTCTGAGGAGGAGACTATGATCAGGACTCAGCAGGGATACAATGTACAGAAGGGAACAGAAAGGTTGTGAACAAGGACAGAAGAAAGGGGCCTAGACGATGGAGCGCTCCCAGACAGCAATCATGTCAATAACATGATGAAGAAGACTTAACACACAGTATTCACTCAGTTTTAGATCAGAGTATGCAGGATAAAGCAGAGGTTTGTCTGTCACCCCTACATCCAGACACCAGATAATCTTGGTCTGCTGTAAATATATACAAATGAAACTGCTTCAAGTTTTAAAAAGTTAACTGACAAAGAGAGTCCAGAAATGGCCAAGGGTCCTGTCAGACTATCAGCTTAATTTCAAAGTACAAACAGGAAAAAAAATAAATCTCCTGCCCCAATATAAAGCACTAAACAGTGTCAACACAGAGTTTAAAGCAGTGGTTCTCAATCTTCCTAATGCCCCGACCCTTTAATACAGTTCCTCATGTTGTGGTGATCCCCAACCATAAAATTATTTTCGTTGCTACTTCATAACTGTAATTTTGCTACTGTTATGAATCGTAATGTAAATATCTGATACGCAGAATGTATTTTCATTGTTACAAATTGAACATAATTAAAGCATAGTGATTAATCACAAAAACAATATGTAATTATATATGTGTTTTCCGATGGTCTTAGGCGAGCCCTGTGAAAGGGTCGTTCGACCCCCAAAGGGGTTGCGACCCACAGGTTGAGAACCGCTGGTTTAAAGCAAAGGTTAATACCTCTATCCTCTAACGTCAGTATTCCCAGTGTCAAAATAATTGTGAATGAAAAGCAAAATGCAGCAACCTACAAACCTTGAACCCCAGTCAAGAAGTGGCTGGTGCACTTGGCTAGTTGGGGTCTATTGTATAGTGAGGGGCAAAAAAACTGTCCCCAACTGCTTCTTCCTCACTTACATAATGAACTCTGGAGCATGACGGGGACAGCTTGGTTACCCCTTCAACTTTTTCTAAAATGTTAGACAAAGCTCATATTGATCACACCATCTCCCCTGTCATGGGTTTCACTACAGTGGAGTTTCTATGACAGAATTGAAGGACAATGAAAAAAGCACTCTCTCCTTCAGGTCCATGGAATTCTATAGTGACTGTATATCCTTAAAATCAAAGAATTTAGAAACATAAAACCTTAACATGTGGGAGTCTTTGAAAGTCAACTTATTCAACCTCCCACCTATCAGACTCACTTCCCACAGCACCTTGGACTGATGGTCATCATACTCTGCCCACATAGGTCTAGTGAAAGTGTACATTACCTCTCAGAGCAGCCTACACAACACTACCCGTTGCAGAGGCTCCAGGGTAGGATCGGCATGTTTGCATGCCCTCTCTGACATGTACTTAGCTGTGTGACCTGGCAAAGTTCATGTCTCTAAGCCTCATTTTTCCTATCGAAAAATGGGATCAAAATAGTACTACTGAGGAGTAGTTAATAGCTTATGCTCTAGAGCTGGACTGCCAGGTTCTGTCACCTACTAGTTGTTTAATTTTGGGCAAGTTTAATCTTTCTGTACTTTAGTTTTCTCATCTATAAAATGGTAATAACAACCATATCTACCTCATATCGTTTTTTGATGACTAAAGATGATACATATGAAATTCCTGAAATAGTTGCTGGCTTATCAAAAGTACTGGACAAATATTAGTTGTAACGTTTATTACTTTCCACATAAGAAGATTGTTACAGGTTTTACATAAGACACTGTTTAAAGCCTTTAGCATAACGCCTGCTAAATAGTTAAGAGCTCGATAATGTTGGCAATTATTATTAATGGCATTTTCATCCTTTGGTTCTAGTTCAACATTCTGAAGCCACAGAGATCAAATCTGTTCCCTCCTGAACCTGAGTGCCACTCGAATACTTAAAAACATCCACACCTTCCTCAGATTTCTCTTTTAAAGGCCAAACCATATAGAGACTCTTCAGTGAGTGTTCAAAGGGCCTGATTCTCAGATCTTCTGATATCCTGTTCAGCTTCATCCACGAATGCTGCAGTTTGTGACCCTCTTAAAATGTGGTACCACCAAACTCCAACTATGATCTGATCAATAAGAATTTCGATGGAACTACCAATTCTCGTGGTCCAGATATTATAACTACTACTTACCATAACCTGGGTATAGTTATTAATGTATTCTAAGTATGTATTGGCATTTTTAGCAACTGCATCAAACTGTTAAAGAATATTCAGCCTCTGATAACTAAAACATCCACATCTTTTTTTTAATTTTAAAAAAATTTACTGCTACTAAAGTTGATCCCTGTCTCCCCATCTTAGGGAATTCATCTCTTTAATCTAAATCCCAAATTAAGTCTTCTTCCCTTCTCAACTGTTTCACAATGTATTAGAGCTCTAAGTCTCTGCCATTAGTAGTCCTGTCTGAATTGAGTTGCTGTCATTTTCCACTGACTTTAATCACAGATTACAGGACTACTAAGAGACGCTTTAGGTGATCTCCTAAATTCGATATACTCCTCCTTTCCCCATTGTACAGCACTGGCCCAATTTTTCCTCAACAGTCAAGCTCATCAAAAAGTTAAGATCAACAAAAAGTGGGTAAGTATCCCTATTATCCTTTAAGCATGTCACAGAAAGAAGCTGTGTCTAGCACAGGGGCCAGTGGCAGAGATCTGTGTCACTTCCCTTAAAATCTCCGCCCCAGTCAACATGTGATTTTAGCACTTGTGCTCAAGTAAGAATGTGCAGTAAATTTAATTGCTGATGCTAGGTGATGAGAACATTGGAGTGCTTTATAATATTCTCTCTATTTTGTGTATATTGAAAATTTACAAAATAAGAGTTAAACAAAAAACCAGAGGTAAATATCACAAGAAACTAAAAGTTTAAAGCATTCCTTTAGGGAAGACTAAGATACAGGGGGCTAATTGTTTTTCCCTTTAAACCTTTAGTTTTAAACTTTTTAAATATGTACAGACATTACTTTAATAAAAATAAAGAAAAGGAGTGTATCGAATTAAAGTCAACTCCTCCAAAAATCATCATTGAATCATGGACATACAATATTTTAATGTCATCAAATGACATCTACTCTAGACTGCACTTTAAACAAAAACTATTTAATGCATCTGATAAAAAATATGTGTGCATACATATATATGTGCATATATATGTACACATTTATATACATGTATATATATATACATAATACGCACACATATATCTCCAAAAAGTATAATTTGCCTAAATCTTAAACTGAGTTTAAGGCTAAAACCAAACCAAACAAACAAAAAAACTTCCTAGAAAATAAACCTCCTAGAAACTGCCCAACCTTTTCTCTGGTAATGATTAAGTATGTTTGATTTTATAATTCAAATGCTTTAGATATATTTAGAATCAGTGTAAAATTTTAATATGTAAAATATCTAAATATTTCCATTATGGGTACTTATTACACCTACTTGGTAAGCGATTGAGCTTTCTGCTGTAGGAAAGTATCTCTGTGTATTTTAATGGCTTGAAGACTTTTTCTGTCTAGAAGTTTGGCAGCTGCTGGTATTTTCTGGATCAAAAAATTATCAGGAAACCAAATAATATTAGCAGTTAAAGTGATGGCTGGTACCTGAAATAGTAAATATAAGGGGAAACAAATCATTAAATGCAGGCTAAACAAGTTATTTAATAGTTCTACAATACACAATGAAAGACAATTGTTTATTTGAAGGAAAAGTAACCATGAAAAATACTCATTAATATATTATGAAACAAATTATCTTACTATGGTACAGAGTTAAGGCATTCCTATATCTGGTAGAGAGCATGACAAGAATTTTATCCTGCCTAAATATTAAATAACACACACATATGTACACACATACACATACTCTCTTTGATTTTAAGATGAATAAATATATGCAAAAAAAAAATAGAAATCTTCATGATCTTCACTTTCACTCTGTATTAGAAAAAAATAAATAGGCAAGATGGTTGGGTTCTCATGGTCACAGATTACTTGATTCTTCACACAAACTAAATTTTCAGTTTTTAAGTCAGGTGCCACATCATGGAAATAACAAAGATACAGAAAAAAAATTTTTTTGATTCAATAATGAAAATGAGTGGCAACAAGAGGAAGAGGAAGAGGGTTGAAGGGCCCAATGGGAGGGGAAAAGTGGGACATCTGTAATACTTTCAACAATAAAGATAAAATTTAAAAATAAATAAAACAAAGAGCTAAAAAACTAAAATAGCAAATGTAAAAAAGAGAAGAAAGTAGTAATAGAAAGTTAATGTATAGAAGAAAATGTGGGAAAAAAACACTAATATGTATTTATATTAAGTGGAATTATAAAGTATTTTCATTTACTAGGTTACCTATTTCTGGAATGCTTGGAGATTTTAAATGAATAAATATGTAAACTGAAATAGAATACATTTTAAAATATCCATTTTTATCCAAAATCTTTTTAATCTACTCAAATTGAAAAAAAATAAAAGTCCCAAGTTCTTACCTTCTTACAAATGTCCAATAAAGACTTATAAAACTTTTTATCAATAGTTCGAAAAATTTGAAAATGTAGTACAAAAAGTCCACAAATTCCAACATACTTGTCTCTCTGGTCAATTTCAGAAGGCTCTCCTTATAAAATGATAACATGAGAGAAAAACAGAACAACTATATTTAAAATTCTACTTTCAAGAAAATGCAAACTTTATAAACAAGAAAACAAAAAATGCACTTTACATTACCAAGTCTGGCTTCAACATTTGCAAAAATTGAGCGAATACTATGTGCAAATTCTTCCGCAAAAGTGCTATTTTTTGACACAGATACTCCTCCATTGAGAGAATCAAACTGCTGCTCTATACAGGCCTAGAGAGGAAGCATTTAAAGAGAAGTTTAGACTCTCAATAATAAGTATTAAACAGATTTAAATACCCTGTGTGTGATAAACAGCTACAATTAATCATTTTAATTTTACTAACACTGAAGTTCAGGTTTTTACCTTAATCTATTATCTAAATCCTTTTGAATGGAAAATTTACCTGTACTTACATAACTGAGTACTAGTTATCCTATATAATAAAAGGCTAATATGCAAATTGACGGAGAGGCGGAACAACCAGTCGCTATGACGCACACTGACCATCAGGGGGCAGACACCAATGCAGGAGCTGCCCCTGGTGGTCAGTGCGCTCCCACAGGGGGAGCACAGCTCAGCCAGAAGCCAGGCTCGTGGCTTGCGAGCTCAGCGGCGGTGGTGGCAGCACTAAGGATGTCCAACTGCCGGGCCTAATCCGTTGGTCAGACATCACCGAGGGCTCCTGGATTGCAAGGGCGCAGGCCGGTCTGAGGGACCCCTCACCCCCAACCCCCAAGTGCACAATTTTCGTGCACTGGGCCTCTAGTGTGAAATAAAACTGAACCAAAAATCTATAATTCAATATAAAGAGATACACTCAGTGATGTATAAAAGATGTATTTGATGAAGCACTGGAAAACCTGTTTTATTATTTACTTAGCACTTTTGAAAGTAGAGTTTATTGTCCAGCCAGCATGGCTCAGTGGTTGAGCATCAACCTATGAACCAAGAGGTTGCGGTTCTATTCCCAGAGCACATACCCAGGTTACGGGCTTGATCCCCAGTGGGGGACGTGCAGGAGGCAGCCAATCAATGATTCTCTCTCATCATTGATGCTTCTCTTTCACTCACTCTGCCTTCCTCTCTGAAATCAATAACAAAATATATATATTTTTTAAAAGATCAATTTTGATCTTAAAAAAAATAAAAGTAGAGTTTACTTTTTCTGTTTACAATTACTTTCCTAGCATTTTATTACAGCATGTAATAAATGTCTCCTGGAAAAAGAATCAATGACAAAAAAATATGCCTTCTGGACCTGTCACTATGGCAGTTTCCCTTCCTAGCCATGGAAGAACATTTTATTTATTGGCAAAGCTGTCACCATTTAATTGGTATCAGATTCTGACTTGCACAAGTAACATTCTTCGCTTTTAAAACCCTGAAGGGTGCTGGGTTATTGCGCAAACATCTGTTTTTCAAATGTTTCTGCAAAGTTGAACTAATTGTTGCAGTAGGTGATGGGAAATATAAAGGATCAAGAAATCAAGTGATGTGGGTGAAGTCTCCTGTAGCTTCCTGCAGTGCACAGGACAAACGTGATTTCAAGTCAACAGCTCCAGGATTGAGTGGGAAATGATGTGATGGGAACAAAAGAATGTTCTGGAAACTACAGAGGAAGTATTTTCAGTATAGGCCTGAATGTTTTTTTAAGTAGTGAATAAGTGAGTGCTTGTTATAATTAAATAAAATGCTTGGGTCATCTGGGGGAAAAAAAAAAAAAAGACAAGGATAATCCAGCAATTCTAGCAGCTCTCTTCAGGAAAAAGCCTGTCTCAGGCAGAGGGCAACGAGCTATTGTCTATGTTCCTTGGACTAGAGCAAGAGTAAGAAATTTAACTAAAGGTTTCCCTGACCCCAATGGGTTTGCAAAGGAATTGATTTAACTGTTAGAACATATGACCCCAGCTATTCTGACCTATTTCAATTAATATACCTTCTGGTTTCTGAGACCAGAATAGCTGAGTAAAGTTTGCTGGCATACTCCTGCAGAGGATTTTTTTAAATTAAATTTAATGGAGTGGCATTGGTCAACATGAACATATAGTTTCAGGTGTAGGTTTCTCTGTTACAAAATCTGTATATTGCACCATGTGCCCACCACCCAAAGTCAAATCTTCTCCTGTCACCATATATAAGGACCCCCTTCTCCTCTCACTCCCTTCCCTCTGGCAACTACCACACTGCTGTTTGTGTTCACAAGTTTCAGTTTTGTATCCCACATATGAGTGAAAGCATGTGGTTCTTGGCTTTTTCTGACTGACTTATTTCACTTAGCATGGTGTTTTCAAGGTCCATCCATGTTGCCAACTCCTCAAGGATGAGAAGATGCCAATATCAGATGGACACAACTATCCTCAGATATCACCAAGGCCTGTATACCAATTAGGAAGTAATGATTTTAAAGGACCTTCCACAAGAGGAAAATATTGAAATTGAACGTTTGTTGCAGGACATTCCAATGCAACTTTGGGCCCTTTCCAGTAGATATTGATAAAATCAAGTCCTGTTAAAATAACTATTGAGCCCGGCGAGTGCAGCTCAATGTTTGAGCATCAATCCATGCACCAAGAGGTCACCAGTTCAATTCCCAATCAAGGCACATGCCTTGGTTGTGGGCTTGATCCTAAGGAGGGGCGTGCAGAGGCAGCCAATCAATGTTTCTATCGCACTCCCTTTCTCTCTTTCAAAAAATCATAAAAACATATTTCTTTTTAAAAATTACCTTCTGAATCTAATGGATTAAAAGTTAAACTGATAAAAATGAGAGTTGGGATGAATCTGTTAAAATTGTGCTCATGTAAAATAGAAATTAAAGGTAACTTGAAGTAGGTATTACATGGAATATAATGCAATTTCTGATAGATACTATCCAAACCATTGCTGCTCAATGGAACTTTCTGTGATGATGGAAATGTTCTACATCTGATATGATGGCTGGCCACAAACTACATCTGGCTATTTTTTCTCCCAGCCTGTTGAAATATTATTGACATATAACACCATTTATGTTTAAGGTATACAGTGTAATGAATGATTAAATTACATGTAGTTATTAAGCGCTTGAAATGTCACTGTGGCAGAGGAAGTGAATTTTTTTATTAATTTAAATTTAAATAGTAACATATGGTTATAAGCTACCTGGACTATGCAGACCCAAGTCATATTCTCGGGAGAATTAAACAGGCTTTTAAAAAGTAGTCTTACAAACTTAAATCTAGAGGTTAATAACAAACACAATACTTAACACAGCTGCTTAAATGTTAATCCTTGAATAGCTTTATCCTTTTACATACTTACAAAAGGAACAACCTTCACTCCAAATACAACTAGTACACTAATTTTTTGCTATTAGATAATGAAATAATTACATTTTAGTATACTAATAATGTTTTAAGACAAAGCACTTTTAAAGAAAAATCTATTCAACAGTATGCTGTAGAAGTATCTATCTATATCTATATATATCTATATATATCTATATAGATATATATATACACATATATATATGTATGTTATTTAGGTTAATCCCTTTACGGGCAGACACTCCGACCGGTAGGTTAGCTTGCTGCTGGGGTCCGGCCGATCGGGACTGGGCGAGATGGGCCAGACAAGCCCTGGAGACCTCCCGCGGTCCCTCCCCAGCCCCAATCAGCCCTGATTGGGACTGGGTGAGACAGAGCCCTTCCATGGTCCCTCCAAGCCAGCCGGCCCCAATCGGGATTGGGTGAGACAGCCCTCCTTCGGTTCCTCCCCAGCCCCGATCGTGCACCGGTGGGGTCCCTTGGCCTGGCCTGCACCCTCTCACAATCTGGGGCCCCTTGGGGAATGTCGGAGAGCCGGTTTCAGCCCGATCCCCACAGGGCAGGCCAAGGGACCCCCACAAATGCACAAATCCGTGTACCGGGCCTCTAGTCCTATTATAATTCTGAACTAGGTCAACTAATATAAGCCCATTTATTCTACTCTAATTCAGCTCTCATACCTGAAATATCATTCCATCAAGTAACTGCCCTTCTAGCTTCAGCAAGAACTTTTCAAATGGCTTTAGTTTTTCTTCCTGAATTCCAAATTTTGAAGGATTGTGATGGACAGATTTCAGTAACCTTGTGGAAGATCAGAAGAAAGACCATAAGTTTGCCTAATAAATTTTTAAATTAATTTTTTTTCCAGAAATCAAAATTTTATATTTGTATTTCTTTTTTTGGCTCTATACATTTGAAAATCTAAACAAAACAAACAAACAAAAATCCCAATACATTTAATTTTTTAATCATGCTTTTTTATATTATCTTAAATTTAGATATCTGGTGCTCTCTAGATACCAGACATTTAGTAATACTTATAGATGGAATAAAATAAAATGCCTTGACTTAAAAAAAATCTTGAGTATACAATGAAATAAAACCAAACTCAGGAAAAACAACTGTCACTTAAATAGAACCCAAGGGAAAAATAGTATGAGTCCTAAGGTAGTCAAGACTTAGGATGCCTGCCTGGCTGTTGTGGCTCAATTGGTTGAGCATCATCCCATGCACTGAAAGGTCGCCAGTTCAATTTCCCGTCAGGGCACATGCCTGGGTTTCAGGTTCGGTCTGTCAGGGTACATGCCAGAGGCAACCAATTGATGTTTCTCTCTCCTCTCCCCTTCCTCTCTAAAATCAATAAAAACGTTTGTTAAAAAAAGACTTAGAATGCTTTATACAAGTGTATCATACTCTCAAACAAACCCATCTGAAATTAAAGAATGGTTACTGTTTTCATAGAAACATCTGACCTGAGATCCTTCTAAATATATATCTTCAGGTCTTTTAAAGGATCTGCACTATTTATATTTGTTTACTTTTTACTGATACAAAGAGAATATTTTAATTGGCTCACCTTTTGTACATAGTCCAGTGGTCTTTTAATGTGATATGATTATCAATAATTTCATCCAGGGTAAGCAAAACTGTTAGCAGCTCTCCCAAGTGCTCATACATAGTCTGTCAAAAGACCTTTAATGATTACCATTTAATCACTAGTTAGAAGTTAAGGTTCATGTGGATTTTTAAAGTTCAACACATTTTAGCTAATTATTAAATTAGTTAAAACAGTGGGCAAACCAGTTTTATTAAGCTACAGATTAAACTACTGATCCTCAGACGGAATAAGTAGCTTTAAATACATAAACACTTTGCCCAATATCTCACCCTTAATTGTGATATCGCAGATTTGTTTCACTCTCCACTCAACTTGAAGAATCTACATTGGGCTACTACTGGGAAAAACTAAGAGTTACGCTGATGGTGGGTCAGTGATGCCTCATTAGCTTCACAAATGAAAGAGAACAAATTCAAGAAATAATCCTTTAAGAGTCTTGCTATACTTGTACTCCCTGATCATACAAACTCCAAAGTAAAATATAGTAAAAACTAGTTTTACAGATCAAGTTAAATTACTTTTACCTGAAAATGAACTCCAGTTGTCTCTATAATTTTGGGTGCAACCCTATAATAAAATAACATTGAAGTTAAAAAATATATCTTTTTTTTGTCATAGTTCATTTTAAGGAAAACATATAGCAGCAGGAGCTCTTGGGATTTTAATATGAATTTATCTTTATTTAGACTTTAGTCCATAAAATTTAAGAGATCCAAGAAATTACTACCTTTTCTACTTTCCCAAGAAGGAACTAACTTATACATAGAGTCTGGGCTATACCCAACTCAGTGGGTAGGGATATGACAATATGTGGTCCATGTATAATCTTAGTCATTTAAACCAAGCCTAAGAGGGAGAGAGGGAAATAACAAAACTGATATTCATTTCTTTCTAAACTATTAGATTTCCCAATTCCCAACTAGAATCCTTGTTATCCTACCCAAACTGGCACTGGGGAACTAGTCTTCTCTTCAGACAGGTTTATTTGAGTTGTTATCCCTACTGAAAAACAGTGCATACAACTAGGATTATGTCAAAATCAAAAGTCCCAGAATAATTCAATTTTATTTCCTAGAGATTCCATTTACTCAACAATAAATAATTTAAAGTAGTACTTATAGCCCTGACTGGTGTAGCTCACTTGGTAGGGTATTATCCCATGCACCAAAAAGTTGCCAGTTAGATTCTTGGTCAGAGCACATGCCTGGGTTGTGGGCTCGATCCCCAGCAGGGTACATGCAGGAGGCACCCAGTTGATGCCTCGCTCTCACATGGATGTTTCTCTCTCTCCCTTCCTCTCTCTCTCTCTAAAAGTCAATTAAAAAATATTTTAAAAATAGTGCTTGCATATCAAAGTACATATATTCCACAAGACAATATCTTAACATTAAACACACAATCAAATTTCATCTTTCTTGAGCAGGGCTGTGATGGGGCGTTACAAACCAGGTACTGAAGTACACACTAGGTACTGCAGTGCAGGGATTGGGGAAGCTATGCTCTCATTCCCCTGTGCCATGAGGAGAGTTTCAGTGAAAGGACAGAACACAAATATCTGGCTGAGGGGAAAACATGAGAATGAAAAACAGTTAACACTGTCTTCCAGATTATAAAAGAGAGTTAGGATGTAGCATGGTATGTAAGAACAACAATGAATGGATTAGTGAACAAAAGAATAGTACCTAAATAACGATGGAATCTTGACAAGTAATTCCTCTAGGCTTCAGTTATCTCTTCTCGTAACTGAGAATCCCTAGTCACATACCTAAACCAAGTTTATTGTAAGGTTTAATTAAATAGTCATGTGCTTAAGCACAGAGATACAGTCTGGGAAAGGCATCGTTAGGCAAATTCGTCATTGTGCAAACATCACAGAGTGCACTTACACAAACCTAGATGATGGTACAGTGGGGCCTTGACTTACAAGTGTCCCAACTAACGAGTTTTTTGAGATACCAGCTGCCTCTCGGCCAATTTTTTGCATTGAGTTGATAGAGTAATTTAGTTAACGAGCTCCTTAACGAGCTCGGTCTCAGAACGAATTAAACTCGTAAGTCAAGGCCCCACTGTATAGCCTACTATACACTTAGGCTATATGGTATTGCCTACTTCTCTGTAGGGGAGAAAAAGTAATTTTCCCTCTATCTCTGGGTTCTTGGCTGAAACATCCCTCTAATAATAATAATAAAATAAAATAAACAGGTTTTATTTTAGTACTGGGAGTGAGCCACTTACAAATGGAGATACCCTTACAAATGTAAATGCCTTTTACAAAAAGTAACTTTTCCTTGGTTTTCAGAGCTTCTCCCATGTCTGTTGTTTTTTAAAATTAATGAGCCTAAAATAATCCTTATGTCAAACAGACATACTTCAGGGCAGTGGTTCCCAAGGTAGGGCACATGCCCAACAGGGGGGCAATTTGATTTTTAAGGGGGGCAATTCGAGAATGAGTTATTAACAGTGAATCTTTTGCATTTCCTATGGTTCTAGGGGCCTCATATACAGTATATAAGTATATATTGTGACATATTTATACATTTCAGTTCTCTATTACATGTTTTGAAACTTTATTTGCTATTTTTTCATATCACTTCATATTATTTTTTATTTTTTTTACAATTTCTTCCTCAGTACTTCAACTGTCCTTTCGTTCTTTTATATTTCTCTTGCATGGATGCCATGTTCTTTTGGAAGCTTGCTTATACCATGTTAATGGCCTTTTAGGCTTCCTCCATGTGAATGGGAGTTCACTTCTTGAATAATAAGAATTATATGTCACGGGGGGCATCAGGATTTTAGAGATGCTTAGGTGGGGCATGGCCAAAAAAAGGTTGGGAACCACTGATTCAGGGTGACAAATTGTTCTTCTAAAGTCCCTAGGCTACCAACCTAGGATGTTATGTACTGAATACTATAGGCAACTATAACACAATGGTAAATATTTGTGTAATACATTGTGCTACGACATTACTTTGGCTACGTCACTAGGTGACAGGAATTTTTCAGCTCCCTTAAAAGTTTATGGGGCCCACCATCATATATGCGGTCCATTGGTAACCAAATGTCATTATGCAGCAAATGACTATAGTAAGTGGGGAAAATTTTAAGTATAAACTATTAATCATACAAAATAATTATTTTATGATAATAACAAAGGTGAGGACTATGGAAAATTTAATCATTTTTCTTTATATAAGGCAGTAGTCCCCAAACTTGGAAGATCATTAGAATCACTCACTAAATTTTTTCATATAGATTCCCACTCCCAAAGATTCTGTAATGAGTTAAGGAACCGTCAATGTAAGGAGGGAGGAAAGGCGTAAGAAGAGAAAACGTGGGATGTTGCCTTTTTCTATATAACCAAATTTCTTTATGATTATTCTATCCACATTCTCATTCAGATAGATAATGGGTTTATTCATGATGACAAAAACTGTCTTATTAACCTATCATTTTTCTATTACACACATCAAGTAGTATTTAAAATGAGTGTTCAAAGAATGCTGAATAAGTGAATGAAGGAATGAAATGAGTGAACAAAAAACTATTTCAGGTAATTAGCTAGTTTTAGAAAAACATTTCCTATATCTCTATTATAAGTGCAAAAATATTTCTAAATCCATTACTTGTTATTGATATAGAGGACAGCCAACTGATGGACTACATTCATCACCACTTCATAGCACCTCGTAACAAAACAAGACAGTTCCTGAAATGACAAGTTGGGTATATGTTACAAAGTTGCTTTTTAAATGTCACCATTTCTGACTGAATTTTAGGCTAACAATGTTAAAAACAAAATAGTTTTCAAATAAGAACTCATTAACTTGCAGCCAACTTCAAGCATCCATCAAGCAATCAATTTTTAACTCATCTCTTACACCCCAAGGTCATTTCTACCTTCTGACCCCACATTTCATTCATACTTCTATTTTAAGTCTTATGTTTTACTCATGCAATTCCTAAATAACAGAGACAGTCTCATTCCTTCTTTGAATATCCACTGCCTAGCACAATGGCTAACCCTCAACTGCTTCTTAATATATACCTGTCCTATCAAATGAAGAAATGAATGAACATCTGAATGAATGAAAAAGCACAAAAGCTGTCAGTTTTAGAAAGTATGACAATGAGGGGAAGGAGTCTCCAGAAATCACTCTGACATAACTTCAAATGTTTACCTTTAACCTTAGTTATAAACAGACTTGGCACACAGCAAGTGAAACAGTATTTATCCCAGGGATATGTTTGTGATTAAATAACGAACTTGCATCTATCATGTCTCACACCTCCTAAAAATTTTTCAGAATCTCTCAACTTTTAAACCTATAGAAACAGATTATCCTAACATACTTAAAACCTGATTAAACCTGTAACTGTTCTAAATTTTATGCTCCATGAGGGCAGGAATTTCTGTTGGTTTTGTGCACTGCTGTATCCCAGCACCAAGAATGGTTTGTAACATATGCTACACTCATAAAACATTTGTTGAATGTTTAAAAACGGAATTTTATGCAGCTGTCAGTTAGATCCAAAAACAATAACATTTTTTTAAATGAAAATAACGCATTTCAATTTTACTTAAACAGTCTAACTTTACATTTCTTAATAAATTTCTAAAGGTTTAATAAAAGCAAAGAACGGAAAATGCAAGACAAGGAACACAAAATAAGAAGGCAAAAACAAGTCCAGATATATAACAGACTATATAAGATAGAAACAGAATAAATTAGACAATTAAAAGACAAAGATTTTCAGGTTGGATAAAAAAAAAAAAAATCCAGATACAGACATGCAGTTTTAAAGAAACACAACTAGCCCTGGCCAGGGAGCTCAGTTGGTTAGAACATCTTCCAATAAGCCAAGATTGTGGGTTCAATCCCGGTCAGGGCACATACAAGAATCAACAATGAATGTATGTATGTATAAATAAGTGGAACAAATCAATGTTTCTCTTTCTCTCTGCCTTCCTCTCTCTCTAAAATCAATAATTTTTTTTTAATCACCTAAAACATAATGACACTGAAAGATTGATTGAATAAAGAAAGATAAATCAAGAAAATGTTAACTCAAACAGCTGGGGCAGTGGTATTAATATCAGACAAAATAGACTGTTTGCATTATTACAGCTAATTACTATAAATAATATATACTTATATAACTACATATTATATACATAATAACTATCATCATAGTTTAAGAAGGTCACTATATGGTGATTAAAAAATTCAATTTAGCCCAGCTGGTGTGGCTCAGTGGTTGAGCATCGACCTATGACCAGGAATCAAACCATGACCTCTTGGTTCATAAGTTAACGCTCAATCACTGAGTCCTCCAACTTTTATGTAACCAACTGTCAACATTAAATCTCTTCTTGTGATATATCTTGTGTGAACTGTTTTCTGGACTGGACCTTGACTGACCCATATCATAATACAGGATAATTTCAACAAAATGCTCTCAAAATTAGGCCAAGTAGACCAAAGAAAAGTAATAAAGATATAAAAGATCTGCACAATATATTAGCATTCTTGATTCAATGAAATAATCAAATCTTGTATCCAACAATCAGAACGTAGGCGGAATTTTGGGTATTTTTACCTCAGCTCCAATTTTTGCTTTTATCATACTGTACAAGCATTGCTCTTTAATGGAGAAGAAATGTTAAGTTATTTCATTCTTTTGAAAAAATTAAACCAAAAGACCTAGAATAAAACTTTGCAGTAATATCTAAATTGAAACATTTGGTTAGGAGCATCAAGTGCAGTTGCTTTAAACACCTCACCATTGCTCATGTAACAGCTTCATCATCTCCATGAACAACTTTTCCTGACATAAATGATTTCTTCCTACCTAGTACAAAGTTTAAATTATTTTAAAAGGTATGATCTCCTAAATAATAATCCAATGCCAACTAAGTGTCTTACCCTCACAGTACAAATTTTTAGCATTTGAAGGTTTCAGAAATTTTTTAATTATGTGTAATTCCCTCAAACTTTTCAAAGAAAAACCTCAGTAAAAAGTAAAAATCAATTACCTGTAAGAATGAAATAAATCTCCCCATTTGAATTTGGCAATCACCTTCCACCATGCTAGAATCTGTGACTTTAAAAGGCAACATGAAGAATTGTATTTCAATTGTTTATATATAAACTCAATCAACACCAAAAACTAAAACTATGATTTTTATTCATTAGTACATCTTCTAATCTGTATAGCATTAACAGAATTTTTACACTGAAGAGAAAAATGAGAAAATCATTAATTATACAATTGAAAGTAACCATCTGTTTCACTATTTAATAAATTCAAGGAAAATTCTTATATAGTTACAGTGCTTTATCCTATATAATAAAAGCGTAGTATGCAAATTGTCCCCTCAACCGGAGACCGGAGTTCTTCCGGGAGTTCGACCAGGGAGCGGGGCGGCCAGGGGAAAGGAAGGAGGCCCTGGCCGGCAGACGCTAGGGACCCTACCAGTGCATGAAATAAACATATCACAAATAGACGTTAGAGAATTTGCTGCTGCTTCATCACTCAGGTTTTCTTATCACCTGTTCACCAAACGAGCAAACCAACAAAAAATCTGAATGCTTATTTTCTCACACTAATACATTATGGTAGTCCTAGAATTGCCTGTTAACTTTTTGTTCATTTCAATCTCAGTATCACAACACTACAATGTGAAATTTTAAAACTTACCTCCTTCTCCATAGAACAAGAGACCATTATAAAATTTAGTTTCAGCCTGTTTTAAAAAAATTGAAATAATTTTACAAGTTGCTCTTTTGTTTTTAAATTACTAGGCTCTCTTAGTTATCCATATTTATAATAAGCAAAGGACTACATCACTTATACATAATTTCACTCAAAAACTGCTTACAATTCAGATACACTCAATTTATCTTTGGAGTACCAGAAGTATTATTAATAGTCAAAGTTATTTCCGGATTTCTTTAGCCTTTACTTTGTATCACATCCTCCCATTATTTCATGGGAGAACAGAAAGCAAACACATTATCAAAAAGGTAGAGAAAAAAAGATGGAAGTTTACCAACTTCTTTCAGAGTTTTGATTACTCAAGGGCAAGGAAACCCAAGATATTTTTAAAATTCAAAGCTTTTTTTAAAAATTAGTTCTAGCGGGACTAGTGTGTCTCAGTGGTTGAGCGTCAACCTATGAACCAGGAGATTATGGTTCAATTCCCAGACAAGGCATATGCCAGGGGTTGCAGGGCTCGATCCCCGGAGTGGGGCGTGAAGGAGGCAGCCGATCAATGATTCTCTCTCATCATTGATGTTTCCATCTCTCTCCCCTTTCCTCTCTAAAACCAATTAAAAATATATATATTTTTTTAAAGTAATAAAAAATCAGTTCTATCTAGAAAGCAAGTATATATGTCAGGTAATACAGACTTTGAAGGTATGCAGACCCATACTCAAAGTGTTACTATCAGTAAAATGTTAGGCAAGTGACACCCTCTTTAAACCTCAATTTCCCCATATATTCCTCACATACCTCCCCAGGTTGTTATAAGTATTAACAGGGTTAACATGGAATTTGGTACATAGTAAGTACTCCGTCATTATTACTACTATTACTTTAAGTAAATAATTCATTCAACATTCAATAAATATTCAGGCACAATGTACACATGTAAGCACATATTTGCTTTTAAATCATGTTTTAACATCTTACGAATACAAATAATTACCTCATATTTTAATTTCTTGATTTCACAACAAAGTGCAGCATAAACTGTGATGACTTTGTTTAAGACCTAGTTTCATGAGTAAAAAAATTTAAAAGTTACAAAAGTAAATTATAGTAGATAAATAAAGCATTTTTTAAAAAGATTTTTTGGTTTTAAATTCTGTACCTTGTTTTCAGTCTTTATAAGTTCCAAAAGGGAAGACTGCTCATAAGGCAAAAGCTGTATAAATAAGGAAAAGAACATTTCTTTTTAATTTGAAAAAAAAAAAACAATGAAATCTTAAATACACAAATTAAGACTAACTCTATTCTATTTAATCTTGTGTTAGACCCTATACTCTGCAATAGCACCATACCAGATAGAGAGTGACTCCTAATGGGTATGGGATTTCTTTTGGAAGTGGTGAAAATGTTCTAAAATTGGCTCTAGTGCTGGTTGCACAATTTTGTGAATGCACTAAAAACCAAAGAATTGAATGATATGTGAACTATATCTCAACAACCCTGTTATTTAAAAAGTCAGTATGTGACTTAGGACAGTGTCTAGCACATAATGAATGCTCAATAAATTTTAGTTATTAAGTGGTAACAGGCTATAGTTATCACTTAATAACTAAAACAAGATAGAACTACCTTGAAATGGAATAGAGCAGGAGTGACCTATTTCATACATTAAAAAATTACTCCCACATTAAAATTCCCTAAATAACATGAAGAGATTTTTAGGAAATGATGAAACTATTCTGTATCTTGATTGGGTATGAGTTACCTGGGTATATGTGTTTGGCAAAACTCATTGAAAAGTACATTTTAAATCTATGCATTTTACTGTATATAAAATAATCTCACCAGAATATTCTATTCCAACCCTCTTCATTTTCTTATTGATGAGAGAAATAAAAGCTAGCTCAAAGAGTCTGTGTCATTTTGACACTAAAGGCTTTGAATTTGTGTCACCCTTTAACCAGTTAACTGCCACAATATTTTGAATTGAATTTAAAAAGTTCCGCCACTTGTGTCTGCAGATGCTTATGGCATACAAATGGTTAAAAACACAAAAACATACAAAAATACCTGTATGGCTTAGAGAAAAGGAAATTAACAATTTTTCTCCATGTTTCTTTTACTTCTCTAGATCCCAAATAATATATGCTCCATTTTTAGCACTTAAGTTTTCAAGATAAAGCATGTCCTGAAAATATACGCATAAATATTTAAAAAATCAAACCTTTAATGCTATAGGATCAAGATTGAAATCCCAGACATCTCCAATTGAATCATCCAGTGCATCCTCAATTCTTCTCAATTGAGACGTATACTCCTCAAGAAATTTCCCATAATTCTTAAGCTGAACTTCAGCGTGAATTTCTAAATTTAAATTTTAAAACAGTATGTGAGCAGCACAAAATTACAGGACATTTACTTCAAATAGTCTCAAAAGTCACAGCAAAGTAAATACTAAGCATTGTGAAATGTATTTAGGAACATCTTAACTTCTTGGAAATAAAGTTTCAAAGCTAAACAATAATTCAGCTTTCAATATTTTCCAGATAGACAAAATAATTTTAAAAGCAGATGTTGCTATATGAAGAGATATATATCACTTTTTAAAAATATCTTTTTATTGATTTCAGAGAGAAACATCAATGAGAGAGAAACATTGATCGGCTGCCTCGTGCATGCCCCCTACTGGGGAGTGGGCATGCAACCTGGGCATGTGCACTTGACTAGAAACCAATCTGAAACCGTTCAGTCCACTGGCCAGTGCTCTATTCACTGAGCCAAACCAGCCAGGGCAAAGAGATATATATGATTTTGAACCTAACTTGAAAGTATTATGAAAAAGTCACAATTTTATTTACCCTATAATTTAGGGCTTTTAAACATAAAATAATTTTTCAGACAATTCAATGTCCTGACTCTATGTTTTAGTCAAAAACAACATTGGGGGGAGGGGGGGAGTAAAAATTCATGACCTGAATCAAGTGCAAAAATGTGTGTTGTCATTTGAGCAAAATTTAAAAGCATAATTATTAATTCCATACACAGTACATTGTTTAAAAATACACCTATATATTGTTTTTAAAATGCATTTATACTTGCTTCATCATCATATTATTCTGTAGTGCCCCAAATTCACCAAGATATTTTATTTTACTATCATAATAGAGTTGGAAAAGCCAGTAAAGAACAGTAAGTATAGAATATTGGGTTGATATTTACAGAATTTACACACTAACAGATTCTAAAGAATCACTGGGATAAATTGAACAATAAAGGTATACATCAATATTAATGAAAGTAAATATTCCACCTTATACATAAGAATTGATTACTTATTACAAAGGCAGCAAATTCAATTCCGACTCAGTTTTTTTTAACGTGAATAACTTTATTCAATCTCTGTATTCTAATAAAGGTAACAATTTTCCCTCCTCAAATTAGCAATGCAAAGCAAACTTTAAGATAAAGTATCTTCTGATTTATAAAGGATAAAGATCTAGCTCCCCATCCTCCCTTATCTTGCAACTAATGCAGAGTCAGGTGGATCAATTTAGTTCATTAAGGTTCCTACCTCATTACAGCATTAACCTAGTCCTGGCAATTTTGAAAAACAATTAGTCTAGATACGATTCACAGTCCAAAACTTAATGAAAATCGGGCACGGAGATGAGAAGTCATTTCCCTACAGCTTAAATTAAAAACAGCGTAAGGCTCTCCAAGTCCCAAGAACGTACACGTCTAATTCTCGGTTACATGGAAAATTACGGTCGCTGTATTCAACCAGCAAATGAGTTCTTAATGACAAAACTACAAAAACATGCCAATAAATTACTCATTTCGTCTGCCTGGGAATTCACAAAGTAGCAGGCAACAGAAACCCTGTAAGAACATTTAAGTTTCTTGTTGGTAAAAATAAGGAATAGTTGTAAAAACTAGAAAAAGTTAAAAAGACTTGAAAGAAGAACTACATGGTGATTCTTCAGAATGAGATTTCAAAAACTCACTCACATGCTTCTCTCTCTGAACAGAGGGCATTCTTCCTTCTATCTCTGTATCCCTAATGCCTAGCACAGTGCCTGGGACACCGAAAATGCCTGCTGGATAAATCTGATCATTCTCCTCTAAGGGGAACCGCTTTTTCAACCCCAGTAACGTATTTTTATCCCAATTCTTTGCGGACGAAAGCAAAGATTCCACCTCACGCATAAGAATTCATTACTTATTCCCAAGGCAGAGGAGGGGACCTTTGTCCTTAAAACTTCATAGGTGACCGACCAGGTGCAGCTCACTGCATACCAGCAAGCACAGGATCCTCTCCAACTTGTATTAATCTCAAGTGGCGTTTCACTGGGATCATTAGTTTGGCTTCTAAATTTTGCAGCATGGACTTGAATGTGTTGGGGGGGGTAGGGGGTTGGATGTGTGTGTGTGTGTGTGTGTGTGTGTGTGTGAGCGTTTCACTGGGATCATTAGTTTAAATTTTGCAGCATGGACTTGAATGTGTTGGGAGGGGTGGGGGGATGGGTGTGTGTGTGTGTGTGTGTGTGTGTGTGTGTGTGTGTGTGTGTGTTTTGCTGGACTTCCAACTTAAATCAGGCAATTCGATCTTCTGAAACAAAATCGGAAGCAGATTTGCTGTAACTTGTGAAACCCTTCTAGCTGCAATGGAAACTGCAGGACATCACTTTTATCGAACGTGGAGAAAAGGCTGGAAGAAGAAGATGCATTAGCATTCACGTGGGGCCTGGGGGGTGTTTTGTTCCATGTGAAGAATTCTTTTATTCTGTGATTATAAGAGTAAAGAGGGAAAAAACACCGAACTTCCAAAAAGTTGGCTGGGGAGGAAAAAAAGAAAAACAGGAAACCGAAACAGGAACCGGGACCTCAGCCTCTCCTAGAAGCGAATGCT